AGATCTCATCTTAGTTATGAGCTAAAAGTTTGTACTTAGAAAAAAAAAAAGAAAAAAAAAAAACTCAAGAGCCGTTCTACGAGCCGCTATGCCGCGGCTAAAAAAATATAATCAACAGTGTCAGGAAGATTTAGTTTTCTGTAAAATACAGAACAAAAATAATTTATTGCATGAATTTTAGTTCTTGAACCCACCAAGTTTTGCAAACCATTTAAGTATATTTAGTCGATATTAAAATTTCGTTTATTTATCTATTTTATTTTCGATACTCAGAAGTTTCTATAATGATTGTTCTAATATTTTATTTATGCATATTTGCTAGAGTCACACATTACTGGAACTGACGCCTTAATGCCATAATGTTTAAATTATATTTTAATTACAAATCACTTTTTTTGGTTTTCATTCGACTTTTCTTTTTCGTGTCAACTTGAATCTTTGAAATAAACTCTAGTTCCAGAAGATACTAATGGTACTAAAGATTATACATACTTTGTCATATTAAACGGTTAGTGTAAGTGAGAAACGCTTTTTTTGTTGTTGCTTTTTTCACTTGTAATGTGTAAAACAACCAAAATACAAGAAAATTTTTCATGTGTTTGTTTGTTTGTAATTAAGCACAAAGCTATCTGTGCTCTGCCCACCACGGGTATCGAAACCCGGATTCTAGCGTTGTAAGTCCGCAGACATACCGCTGTGCCACTGGGGGGCTTTTTCATGTGTTAAGAATGAAAATGATTTTATGATGACGTTTCACTCATTATACATTGTTCACACGCTCTCGTGCTGTTGTTCGTGCTAATGTTGACTTAAGACCTACATGGGAACGCTTCGTTTTTATAACACTTTTTTTAAAACATTCAAGGATAACGTTGTTTCAACTGTTATTTTTATGTCGAGCTCTCCCCCCCCCTTCTCCCCCGTCAGCTTTTGCTTTATGCTACAGATAATTTCTTCATTCAAGGATAACGTTGTTTCAACTGTTATTTTTATGTCGAGCTCCCCCCTTCTCCCCCGTTAGTTTTGCTTTATGCTACAGATAATTTCTTCATTCAAGGATAACGTTGTTTCAACTGTTATTTTTATGTCGAGCTTCCCCTTCTCCCCCGTTAGCTTTGCTTTATGCTACAGATAATTTCTTCATTCAAGGATAACGTTGTTTCAACTGTTATTTTTATGTCGAGCTCCCCCCTTCTCCCTCGTTAGTTTTGCTTTATGCTACAGATTTCTTCTACGCTTCGTGGTTCTGTGCACACATTTACTCTTACAAGGACCAATGATTTATAAATATAAATACCTTTCTCAACAAATACAGCCAGCCTGAAGAGCTGTGGATTGAGCGAAACATGTCATTGGCAACGAATAAAGCATATATACTGTGGATGGAATACTATTATTATACACTATAATATTTGAAAATCCCTAAGGGACTAAAATAAAGAACTAAGTGTTTAAAAATGCAATATACATAATATTAATGTCTTATATGACAAGTATAATTGTAACCATTCTTCGCCGGCTTGTAAAAAACGTACACACTATAACAACATAACAGATATAGCAGTTGAAAACTAAATATATTTAATGTATAAATACAAAAGCACACTAAAGTGCACATAATTTTATAACAGGTTTCTAGTATCTTACCGTGCAGAAAATTTCATCGGGACCACATACACGTTGAAGAGACCGCGAGACATTTGTGGGAAGAGTAAGACAGGGCTCTCCATCAAAAACTGTACTACAGAAGTAGCACGTGTTGTTTGGAGCTGTTACACCAAATTTGTTTGTCCTCGAAACAGCTATAAAAGTTAAAATAAAAATGTATGTGTACCTTCTGGAATGGTGGTAAAATGAATGATAGACCGACCATTAGGCATTTTTCTCCTACGAGTAGAAACTGCTGTGAATCATTAAACTACTGAGTACATAAACGCTTTGACAATAAAACAAGTATAAATATACCATTTGGTTGTTTTATAATTTCTGTCTCAAACACTTATTTCTAATAGTATTATGAACAAAACATTTTATTTTAATAAACATAAGTTACCACTGAGAAACAAGCTTTGTTGCCGTTTTTCCTTACGAAACTGATACAAGATAATCATGTATATCAATAACAAATTGAAATTTTCTAAACACTTTGGAAATTTTTGAATTAAATTTTACAACTGGTCTGACAAGATCAATTATATATTAATCAAACGCTGAGCCCTATACTGCGAAACTATATGATGCCTTGAGGTCAAACTGGAAACGACGATAACCTCACCAGTGCGGACACCGAATGTAACCTTACAATATTTATCTCCAAGTTAATAAATTGCACCCAGTTACACAGTAATATAATATATTGTACATAACATGCCAATTTAGCACATCGGCACGTTTATTTCTTACATATAAACGTTTATACACATGCTAAATTGACATATAAATCTATACTCTACATGCTCATACATTAAATATTAAGTTGTGAGTAATAGCCAATTGTTTTATTTTCCTGTGTTCACGTGAAATCACCGACTGCTTGAGCTAAAGTAATATTTTGACTTTTTTTTGCACAAGTATTTTTGGATGGATATCCTCTCTTTAAAAATATATTTTTTATATTAAAATTGTATCTATAATGTTGTATTTCTATTTTAATTGCCCAAAAACTTCAAGATATACAACGATGAGGAAAAAAATTTTTTACCACACTTAATACCTCGGTTACACACGAGATTGGTGCAATCTTTGTGCCCATTACATCTCGCATAGTTGTAATATATATATATTCCAATTTTAACTTATCGTTAATGGGAATATGATATAATAAAGCTTCAAACAGTGTAGCCACTATTTTTTTAATTTTTGTTGTTAGGTTTCTCTCAAGTAACTTTAACCATTTAATTATTTGAGAATACATATGATTAGATAAAAGAATTTTGAACACCGTAATTCATACTAACTAGGTAAGTAATTACCCTAACAATGAAATAAGGTAACTTGTAGTGTCGGCTGGAAAGAGAACACTATTGTGTAATGGAGAAGACACCGTTACAGGGGAAGCATGGCAAAGAAAATCATTTTTATTTATTCTTTACACTCTTGTAAGTTTGCTATATATCTGAATAAATGTATACGAGTTTTTGACTAAAGATATTCTCTTTAAATACATTCTAACTGTTGTTATTCAAGCTTCAATAGGAAATTAAGACTGTGTCTTCAAAGTTTGAGCCACCTACATCTAATTAACTCGTTAGGCAAAGCATGTGAATTGTTTTTTTACAAACTATGAATTCTCATAAGTACTTTATATCTTTGTTCACTTACTAGAAAAATACTAAATTACAATCAAATGTCAGATACCTTAATGCTGTCTACTGTCAAGGCAACAGCAATTTTTTAAACAATCTAGCCTGTATCACATAGTGCTGTTGCATATACTTTAAAATAACTATGAAAAATTACCATAAAGTAATCCGAGAATTATTAAATATTTTACAATTATCTTTGTGTGTGTATAATTGGGTTCAAAATTTCAATATATACATATATATATATTTAAATACTTATGACAAATGTCATAACCAAACAAGCTATTCTACAACTACAAGTACATTCGAGAACGAATGTCATCTTTGTTTTGATTTTTTTCAGCTTAAGATAAAATCTTATCAGAAAAATTGAAATGGAAATTAATCAGGTAATTTGATAATGTGAACAGCAAGTCACATGCTAAATGCTGTAACGTTTAATAAACATATAAAGAAGTCTTACCGTGACATAAAATCGAAAATTTTAAGAGCAATAACACTGCATACAATAACGAAAGATGTAGAACTTCAAAACACTTCATTTCCAAGTGTAGAGGATGACAAGGCACGCTGCTAAGTACGCATGACATCCGTTCGACACAACCTCACAGGTAAGATCACTGAAAAGAGAAATACCACCGATATTTGCATAATGATTCACATTAACAACTTTATCACACGAAAATTATTTTTGGGATTAATGTCCTTAGTGCATACAACATGTTTTGCTTTATTTTTTTCTTTATAATAAATAAAATAAAGAACTTATGCTAACCATCTAAACGTAGCCTAACATGAACGTCAGTCGATCGTGGAGAAATGCGATTGTCCAGTAAATAGAAAACGTGAAATTCGTATACCACAATAAACGAAAAGTAATAAATACGAAAAAAAATCTGTAATATGGCAATTTTTACATTGAAACTGGTATAACTGTGAAAACATTCGAAATAATAAATTATGTTCATATATATATATATATATATTCTTTCTCATGGGACTGTTAAAATAAAAAATACTAGCTTATGCTTTGGTAGCAAAAAGGTGATTAAAATGCTATATAATAAAGTAACAGTAATACTGGCTAAAAGGAAAACACTTTGATAAACACAGAAGAGATTGCATAACAATAAGGACAAGTTACAAATATTTTTGAAATGCTAATTTTAAACTAACAGTTAATAAAACATAATTAAATTATAATAAAATAAGCTTAAAATTTGTTATTAACCAAGAAAAGTTGGTAAAAAATACATGATGAGTACTGAATATAACTGGAATGTAATCCTGTGAAAAGAGAAACATTGAAGGGAGAAAAACATTTACTATTAATGTAAAAAAATACTTAGTATTATACAATAAACATGGATAATAAATATATATAAGTACGCAATACCAAAACATTGACATTACTGTTGCAGTCTGTTCTCTCTGTGAATATTAACAATTAACTTGTTTAAAATATAAATATTTACAACTTTAGTAAAATACTTGTTTGTAAAAAGAGACAAAGTATTCTTCAAATCTTATGCAAACATTAGTTTACTGTGTTTACAATTCAAAATACCATACATGAAATAGTGTTAACCAATTGTGATGTAGTCACAGGTAAAATTTTACATTTTTAGAAAAATGAAGTTCAAACAGGTACTTACATTTGAAATACTGAAAGCCATTCCTTGTTGAATTTAAACTCATGTTCTTAAAAAAGCAAGTGACTCAAATTTTTAAATTTAATTTACGCATTGCAGAGCATGTGCTAATTACCTAAAATTCTCCACTCTCCCACCTTCCATGTGACTTGTTGCGCGTGCATCAGAGGATCATACGTAAGAAAAGTATATTTAATTAACTATACCAGATTGTTTTTAGTTTCGCTCTATGTACATAGTTTTCCCTGATCGGAAGTTATTATTATTATAATCTCTGCTTTGCCACCATAATTCGGTCGAGAGGATGTGGTAGGATAAGTATTTCAAAGGTAAGCACCCATCTAAAATTAATTATAAAAATATAAAATTCAAATCAAATAGACTTACTGCTGAAATACTGAAAGCAAGAATATATATATAATTACAACTTTTTTGGGGGGAAAGAAGATAAAAATATACACAACAAGAAATATGTAACCAAGTAGAATTGGAGTAGAATCCAGAATAAATAATAATAGTTTGCAGGCTTGGGTTCAAGAGAACCTCTTCACTCGTGATGCTCTTTAATTCAGACAAATATATCTGTTTTGTATGCAGCAATGATTTATTTAACCTATGGAGTTAAAAAAGAAACCGTCATAAACAGGTAGGAAGAATACTATATCCTGCTCCTGGAGTGGAAGGTTTTTCGGGTGAGTAGCCATTATCAAAGGACATACTGCAGTGGCAGTAGCCCATTTTCATCCATATTAAAATGGCAATTGGGACACAAAACCAATCAAATTACTGGATGCTCAGAGAGAACCAAAGAAATACTTAAGCATTCCCCAAGGATGAGCTCAACAGCATAGGAATAGTGCAATTGGAACACCAAAACATAAATAATAAAAACAAGTATGATCCCTGTCCCTAACAGTCGCTATATTTCCGATATCTCTAATTCCACATACAAACAGGCAAGCATAGGTTGGATAGGTACCCATTGAGGGATCATCAGCCACTAGATGACACCATCTGCCACTTCCAAAGGACAACATTCTTGTGAAGCTTCACCAAAATATAGAGGTATATGTGACACGCAAGAGTTCAAAGTGGACGAATTCATACACAGAATTCCACAGAAGGAGAGATCACGATTTTCTTATATATTTGTTTTTTTATAATTGTTTGTTTGTAATTAAGCAGAAAGTTACACAATGAGCTATCTGTGATGTGCTCACCACGGGTATCGAAACCCGGTTCCTAGTATTGTAAGCCCACAGACATACCGCTGTGCTACTGGGTACTTGTATAATCGAATAATTTCTCAAGCTCAAACACCTATAGATTTGTGAATAGTGGTATTTGGTGATATAGAAATACTTGTATTACCTGGGACAAATACAGCGGTTAAAGAACATAGGATGAGACGAATCAGTATACATACAGATTTTCGATAAATAAGAAGAAACTATATTTACTTATTTTAGCTTTATTACTTTATATTATCTGTTTTGGAGCCAAAATTATTCACAATCCCAGATACCGTAGAAATGGTTAACAAATAGTGTTGGGCAGAATAAACAAAGTCTCATAAAATACGGATTCCATCCACAGGTAAGAAATGGGATCCTGAAAAATAAATACAGTGATTTGATGAAGATAAAATACCGAAAAATAAGTCAATATGCACCCATGACAGTCAGTGAGGTATCCATTAAAAAGTACAGAGAACAGGAGGCTAAAGACATAGCCAAATGGCAAGTGTAAGCCAATTCATTAAGGTGAATTAAACAAGAACTATCATCAGATATAAACAACTAATGTTGATTCACTCGAAAAAAAATCCATTATTGTAATATACAAACAAACAGCCCTGACCAAACATAGAAAATGTTTTTCAGAAGTAGAATCAAGGTCAGACAGAGTAGGTAACACAATAGGAGACAAAAAAACAGCAGTGACCATCTCTTGCAACCCGAGTTTGATAGGAAAAACCCTATTAGGAAATAAGTACAGAGCTTTCCTGGATAAAAGAAAATAATATGGGAAACTTCAATAGCAACATTGCCTGATCATTTCTTCTCAGAAGCGAGTAACAAAATAGGAATACTTCTTCAGGGAAAGATAGTAGAGTAAACAATGCAAAAGGTTCAAAAGGAGAAGTCAAGCAACTTAAGGCCAGACGTAAATCACACTAAAGATAATGTTTATGTACTCGTTGGAGCCAAAATCATAAAGCTCAAAAACAAACCTGAAAAAGTGGAGTCGACAGAGGCACGTGACTTTTGTGGTAACTGAAAGTGACTGCCGATGCACTTCTGTAGACTGCAGTAGAAGCAGATTCGCCCTTAACATGAAGAGGTACATGAAACAAATGATCAAGCTGTTGAGAAGTTGTAAAAAGGCAAGAAACCAAATTTTGCAGTCAACAATTCCTTAATATAAACCAGCAAAAATGGTATAATGCCAGAGAGGAATATCTTCAAGAATGTGACATTCAAGTTACCCAAGAAAAGAAGCCAGCTTCGCTAAAGAAGAGCTACATTATGACTGTAATTGACAAACGTCATTGTGTAAGATGTACTACAAAATTAATGGAATAGGCTCCCCCCCCCCCCCCGAGATAGACGAGAAGAGTACAAACCATGGTGGTGCAGGCCAGCATGGAGTAATAAAAACTCGACAATGGAACCAACTGATCTAGGTTAATACCAGGGAAAGATGATGAAGAATGATGATCTTCAAATGTCTAGACAGAGGAGTCATTGAGAACAGTAGAAAGACCCACCTTGCTTACACCTATGCTAGTCAAGCTTCCTCTGAACGGAAAACAAGTTAAAGTGAAATACTTGCAAATATAAAAATGAAGCCGGACTTTTTTGTGATGATGGATTAAATTTAATATTAGAAAGAACTATGTTTTTTAAAAAAATCACAACATTTTTTATCGGTTGTACATGGAAAACTTTTATTTTATTCACAATGTTTTACCAAGTTTACTTGGCATCATTAAGTGGCGTACAAGAACTGGAACAAATGGAATTTAATTTAAAAAAAACTATAACACCAGCAATCTACAAGCATAAGACTGACCAATGTAAACAATCAAATAATTTATCAACGAACTGTCAATTTTAAGTATTAGCCTGGATTACTCTTACCAGGCCAAATAGTGAGACTTTACCACACCCACAAACTCGAAGTAGGGAGTGCTATTTTTTTTTTTTTTTTTTGTGGTAATGAAGGGTGAACCATGAAATATCCGAACCAGTCTAGTATGCTAACTACTGAATCATTCAGGGCATCATTCTAAGCTATAGAAATACCAATATTTCGATTGTGGCAGGAATAAATGACTAAGAAGTTATGCCATAGCAAAGCCAACAGTGTGACTGTCAACAAGAAAATATAAATTATGTGGGTATGTGGGAAAACAGAGATTATGTAAGATCCTCTGAAACTTGTTGGAGAGTAGAGAATTATAGGTAAGTGATGGATGCTCTGTAATGCATAAGGCATTCAGAAATTTGAGTCATATTTGTTGACATCATGAGTTCAAACCCAAGAAGAATGGCTTTCAGTATTTAACAGGCAAATTTACCCGATTTGAAGTATTAATATAATCAAGTATTTCAACTTAAAATGCTTCTTACAGAATGAGAAATATCAATGACAATTTAATAGACTGCCCAAATGACTTATGTCTATGAGCATTATTTCAGATAATTTAATTAACCAATTAAGAGACACATTGATGTATTTTGTAATGAACTTTGTGGCATTTTTTTCACACAGATAACTGTTTCAAAAACTTGAAAAATAAAATCATATGCACATACCAAACTGCTCTGATTTTCAGTAATTTATATCTTTTGATGACGTGTTTCTTCTTATAGCAATGCCACATTAGGCTATCTGCTGTGTCCACCGAGGGGAATCGAACCCCTCATTTTAGTGTTGTAAGTTGGAAGACTTACCACTGTACCATCTGGGGACTTTTGATGCCAAAAGAAGTAATAACAGTCTTTAAAATTATGAGCTAGATGCAATAGTCAGAATGACTGCATTTCTAAGTGTACAAAACCCTATGAAAATGAAAGCACATAGATTGATTCTGTTGCCATTGTGCTCCTGTTGTAAGTAAAAATTCTATAAAAATTATCCCTATAATAATATTCACCTATTTAATTTGAAGTATACTGTTGACCTCGTAATGCACTGTTTAGAATCCTGTTGTTTTGAAACTGACTTACTCTGTACTTTTAATTTTGACTATTACCTGAACTATATACATACATTTTCAATTTGATAAATATTAAGTTAAAAAATTTTTATTATGCAGAAACCCAAATTCTCCATAAAGTTCAAATTTTCCTAACCTGAAAAAGTATTTCGGATAGATACTTACCTCTCCACAGAACTAATAGCTATTACTTCAGCACATCTACTGAGAAGACTTTTGTGTATGTCACAAGCCTTGAACAAAAACTTCCACCCCCTACACATATTTATGTGGACTGTGCCTGCCTATAATGTAATCATCACTAGACTATGGCCATCCACTAATAAGAAAGTGACACACCCTCCATGTAAATGACCATAAATATTAGAATTCCAACAAATGCTTATTCTTGACAAGGGAAAATAAACATACTGGAAGTGAGGGGGGGGGGGTTCTGTAGAAAGGCAAATATCTATCTGAAATACATTATTAGGAAACGAAAACATTAACTTCAGAAACACTGATGATTGAGAAGCTGGTGTAAATAAAGAAATTAAAAAAATGAGCTCCTTAGTGAAATAACATCATTCTTTATTTACACCATCTTATCATTATTGGATTTCTAGCACTTAGTTCTGCGGATAGGAGAGTAGTGTTTCTAAAGTTAACATTTTCCTTACCTAAAAATGTATTTCAGATAATATTTATCTTACCACAGAACTACAATATTTCCAGTGTTTCTTTTGCTTTGATAAGAATGAGACTCTGATGGCACACTAATGCTTATGACATTGCTGTGCATGGAGTACGTGTTTCCCTCATAGTTATTGAAGGCTATACTCTAATGATGATTACATCATAGGCAGGTGAAGTTCATATTAATACGGGTAGGGATGTACAAAAATATTCTTGGCAGATGCACGGGATAATGGCTCTGTTCTGTGGAGAGGTAAGTAGCATTCTGAATCATAGTTTTTTTATGTGCTTATGTTATGTGATTATTCTCTGCTGGAACTTACTATACATGTAACATGTATTTTTTTTTTCTATTCCTTGGTTGAAAGTCACAAAGAATAGAGGGTCCAAGTCTATGATTAATTTACTTCAATATTAAATTCAAATTGAGAAATTTTATACAATTTTAGCTTTAACTCAACATCAATTAATTGTGTAAATATACAACTGAGTTAGATTCACAAAATTAGCAAAATAATAAATGTGGCATATCTGTGGTAAAATATTACCTGGAAATTAGATTTAGTTCATGCTGTTTTGATCACAAAAAAGCAAAGTTTTCACTTTTCTTTGAAAACAAAAAACAATATATTGTATACATCTCATATTAACTTCATTCCTTATGAACCCTCAAATAATTCACAACAGCATTTAATAGGGTCAACAAAGTATAACACTAATCATTCTGTACTTTTATTTCACTGCTCTTATTTTCATTAAACCATGCCCCTTTACATACAATCACAGATAAAACAAAGATAATTAAGTTGAAAATGGAAAACTTGACTCTCAGTTTTGGGTAACCTGATCTACCCCTTAAAACTTTTAATCCTCTGGTAATATGAACATATTCACCTTATCACACTTGAAAATGGTCATATACTTTAAATAATGGGATATATTATACATTCATTAATAACTTTTAAAATAAAAAAAATTGATAAAAAAAAAGAAAGATTCCCCACCCTTCTTTTACTGTAACTTAGTACTAAAAGTTTCCCATTAGTTTTCTTAATTTTAAAATATAAATTTATGTTGTTATTTTCACAATGTTTCAAATAATGCTAAAATACTTTAAGACAGGTTTACTTAAAACTGGCAGGAATCAAATTCATCTTAAGTTGAGGGGAAAGCCTGCTACAAAATAAAGAAAGAGAGCTACAATATAAATATCCAAAACATTTATTTAATAAAACAAATGGTGATTATGATACAAATTTGTGTAGTGAATACAAATTCAAAAACAATAGGTATAACCCTTCTGAGTCACATTAGTTAGAAAACTTGTACATGAAATACAAATATAATTTTTTGTTTTTACATCAACAAAAGTTCTGCAGACAAACGTAGGCCTGTGTACATACAAATCATAATGAGCACACAAAAAAAAAGAAACATTTGAATAATACTGTGAGTAATAAAACTAATTTTACATTTTGAGTAGAAAATTATGAAGAACTGATTTATGCAGGTACAGAAAAGACTATATGTATGTTCAAGAAAGCCAAATCTTTATGTTGTCTTCTGGGATCCTTTCTTGCCAATAAGAGACTTGTGAATGTGTGGAATAACACCTGATAGAAAACATAAATGTAAGTTTATGATACTGCTTTTAAAGTATAATTTTATTATAAAAAAACTGCTTAAAACTAAACAAAAAAACCCTGAATTAAAATATTAATGATTTCAGCCAAATTACAATAATATACCATTGTTGTATACTACAGTTCTACTTTAGACAACTTACTCACTGGTCAATAGTGAGAATAATAAAAATTCTGAGAAATATTAAAACAATGGTGTAACACTAAAACAAATTAATTTTAATGTTTTGCTATACAGCTTTTTCAGGAAATTTATATTCACTACATTAGCTGCTTTTCTCAAACTATAACACAAACAGATCTGCAATGACAGAGATTCAATCAGATTTCAACCAAAATGCCATTACATTAATTAATTAATAAGTAATTTAGTTGTTTGTAGGACAGTAATAAGTCTAATAAATGATTTAAAAAATTTCCCCATAGTTTTAAATTATGTATACTTTGTATATAATTTAGTGCCAGTGTTACATAAATACAGTGACTGGTACTGCTGAAGTAACTCTAACAATGACAGCTTTCATATTTATTAGCTGTGTATTATTAGCTAGTTTATTTGTGTTTATTAGCATTATATCTTTTTAAGAGCACAAAACTCACTCAGATTCTGATATTCATTAAGTATGTATCATCTATACCTTTGGTTCTCAGGGAGCAATCTCATGGAGGTTTGTGAGGATAAAGATTGAGTTTCTTTATTATAGTAAATACACTCTCTTTAGTTAAATGAAAATAATTTTCACATCACATTTTGAAATCCAAATTGGTTCTATCTGCGATTCAATTTTACCTTGCTTATCAAAAACTGTGACTCAATCTTAACAGCAAACACAAAACTTGGATCAGAGATTTTTCAAATTATCTGTAATTTGTATTTCATACAATTCAGAGTGGTAAGTAATGTTGAGCTTGGTGATAATATTGCCAGATAGAAAACATTTTTAAGGAGTAAAGCCCAAATTACGGCCTAATTTCTTTTACCTTTAGAACAAGGTGGACAAAAAATAGATTATGTGAGTAGGTTAGGTCTTAGTGAGAAAACACCTTTTACAGTAACATTTTCAAGGTTAAAAATTCATGAAAATACTAAGTATAGTATTTCTGTATTAAAAATTTCTGACTGAAAATAAATACTTACCACCTTTGTTATGATTCAAGCAAACTAATTCAGTAATTTTTTTTTCTAGATTACATGTACCTGAGACAGCATGTGCTGGTGCAGTGCCCTACAAGTTTTCCAAGTACTATTCAAAGTTATTTTGTATATCAATTGTTGTTATGCAACATTTTTGAAACACATTAACCCCCCCAGGTATGAAACTAGTTTTTTCATCAGTTTTTGAAAAATTAATAAGTAAAAACATGGGAAAGTACAGGTTCACAACAGAGTGCAACCATTTCAGGCCCTTTAAGGGCAAGTGTTACATAATGGTAGGAGACAGTGCCTTACATATTTGATCCCTTCTTGCCATTTCTCACTGCTACTACTGTGACAACGTATGGCATACAGTGGCAGCACAACAGGTGGGCATGGAGTTTACTTAAATTATATAATAACAGCCTGTGTTACAACTACCAGAACTCCCACTCTTCAACACTGAGAAAAGTGCTAGTATAAATAATATAAAATGACATCTGTGTAAAACATCTATATTTACAATAAAAAAGAATACAATGTTAAAATCTTTACACAATAAATAGTTATTAAAATAGGGACTTTTTTAGGGCAAGTCTCTGTTTTAATTACTATTTATTGTGTAATGATTTTAACATATTCCTTTTAATTGTAAATATAAGTGCTACTATGTTTAGAAGAAAGCAC